CCCACACCTGTGGCTTCCAGCCAAGCAAAAGACAGGCATATGAGTTGAACATTTACCTGAGGTAGATACACTCCTTGGAGAGAACAATCATGGGACAAAGAAGGGCTGCTTATGCACCAAGAGACAACTCAGGGGGCAGGAGGGCATGGAGGGATGGACACAGGGAAGAGATAACTATTGGGATGAAGTGGGAGCTGTTGCATTGTGGTAAATTGTGGTCAATGTCATGAGACAAAGTGTATGTGAACTGCTGTATGGAAAGTGAATTTGCTCTGTAAATCTTAACCCAAATCACAACAAAAAAATAAAATTAAATTAAAAAAAGAAAAAAGAAGTGAGAAGGGAAAAAAAAAAAGATGACCTAACTTTCTGTTAAGACTTCACTACACCAAAAACACATTGTATTTATATGGACATGCCCTTCCTCCTATTTTGTTTCTCACTTGGGCCACAAACAGTACTACTTGGGCCTATCTGTGAAAATGGCTTCTTCTTCCACTTGTAGCCTTTTTGCTTCATGATCCACACGCAATGCAAACCAATTCCCACAAACAGACGGTTTCAGACTGTCAAGTTTCTCAGTTCATCACAATCACCTAGACTCTGAAACCCAGTTTAGGCTCATCTGGGACTCTCTCTACAATAGCAATTACTACATATTCTTATTTCTCATCTATTAGGGTCTGCCTTCCAAATCAAAAGCAAGTATGAGACACAGTAAAATATATAATATAAATTTATTCTGTGACATTTTTCTCATTGAAGATATTTTAAACTAGAATGAAATAATCAATATTTCATGAAAAATAGATAGTAAAATAATTTAGATAATAAGTATAATATACATTATTGGCCCTGAATATCCATTTTTTTTTTTCATTTCAAGCATCATTTTTTAAGAAGTAACACATAACATGATAAAGTTTGCTGCATTCTTCATATACCTGTGTCTCACAGAATTTCATTCAACTGCCAGTTCTTTTCTCAACTATATATGTTAATGGGATTTGCTCCTGTTTTTGAATGGGAAAAGTATCCATTTTCTGTTTCTTAACAGTGATATTAAGGTCTTCTTTCTCTGATTCTTCAAGAAAATGCTTCATGCTGAGTCTGAATAGTAATCGAGGGTCTGGTCCAGAAAGTGGTGGGCAATTACAGATCTCTCTAATTTTAAGAGCCTAGAAAGAAAGAATACAATACAAATTAAAAAAAAAAAAAAAAAAAGTGTCATTTCAGTAATCCCCAATACATTCTATGTAAGCAATCAAACTAAGAACACAATCTATCTTTTTGAAATAAAAAGCACCTTAATTACAAACATGTCAAGGAGAACCACATACAAATTCATGGCAAATGGTAGCATTTTCATGATTTGCTCACATATATTTAAAAATCAACAATAACAATTATATTTGTAGTCACTGCCCAAACACTGTGCTAGAGATAAACAATGCTTTTTAGAGATACTACTATGGTTTCAAACTCAAGCAGAACCTGTAAACAACCATACAAATTAGAAAAGATCTGAAGTCTGAGATATTTTTTCAAGAAAAGGAAAATAAACAGAATATAGCTATCTGAACTCAAAGAAGATACACATAATAAGTGGAGGGGTTGGAGGCAGAACTGATGCTAATAACCTAGAAGAGTATGGAAATCAAAACTAAGAAATTTTTAACTTCAGGAAAAAAGATTTACAGAGCAAATTCACTTGCCTGAAAGGAAAAGTAAGCAGGGTACACTACGTGGAAAACAATGAATCTTAATCTAACCAAAATCACAATTTAACTATATTAGGAAAGGGAAGAGCAAGGTATGTGTGTGTACATGTGTAGGATGTGATAGTGGTAAGAGTGCATTTAGTTCTCACCCTCTACCGTGGAAAGTAAGTAGATAATGCCTAATGCTGGAAAGCAGTAATATATGCACATTTCACAGATACAGTAGGGATCACCAAAAGAATCACATAAAAAAGTTAGAAATGGTTATCTCTGGGAAGTCAGGAAACTGAGGGCAGGGTAGGAAGACTGATACTTTAAGATCACTCTTAAGAATGATGGGCTCTCAGAAAAGTCTACCAGCTCTTACCTTGTCCTAAACTCCACTTGTTTTGGAGACATTCAGCCCCCCTAGGTACACATTAGTATGTACTCATGGTCTCTGTCCTCATGCAACTTAATTTGCATTTCCCAATTACTGGGTATTTAAATTGTTTCCATAGCTTTTTTTTTGTTTGATTGTTTTATTTGGCATTCATAAATTACCCTGCTAGGTAAATCTTTGTTTAAAATAAAAAGATCTTTATTTTTAACTTCTATTTGGTTTTACTTGAAGTATATCCTCTAAAATCAAATTATCTAAAGAGATGTGTAATTTTTACTACATAAAAACAGAATGCTGACTACCTGAAAAGATTTACCAGTTTTTAATGGCATCAGCAATACAAGCATATCTGAGTTATTCACAATCAGGATAATAAAAGATTTCGTGATTTTTTTACCTAGACAACCAAAGAATTTCAAAGCTCAGATTCCTTAGAAATCATTAGCTAAAATTTACAGATGAAGAAATTGACCTCCAGAAGGGCTAAGTGACTGACAGAGAACAGTTGTCTTGGAAGTCAAAAAGTTGAGATTAGAAACTGCTTTGGTGTTATTTTTGTTGTTAACGGGGCTTCAAATACGCTTGACCTGGTTCAGTCATTTCCAGTGCTGGGAAATCAGAATCAGACTTAAATTTGTAAAATGTGGATGAATTTGTAAAATATACTGGAACAGGAAATATTTGTATGGGTCAAAACCCTGGAATGAGACTTGGAAGAGGTGTCTGATGTGGAAGATTGGATAATTGCTAAGATTGTAGAGAGTGACACGTACTCAAAATGGTATAACTGGCCTACGTCTTTGAGCAGGGCATCACTGTCTCCGACTATGCTGATCAAGAGATTTGGTTGCTACACAATGTACATGCTGCCCTTGTTTTCTAAGAGGGAGATCATTAAGTTTCCAGCAGGCTGTCAACCCATATTTTTTCTTGTTCCGGTTATCATTCTGGTATATTCTCATTTGACAAATTTGGGTCCATTCCTAGTTTTGCTTCACAGGCCATAAATGAACTGGGAAGAACTGGTTCAAAGTCCTTGTTGTTAATGCTTTTTGCTTTACATGCTCTTTGCACTAATGCTTTTTTGTACCATATGATCTGCTTTTTGAATATATTTTTTTACTGTATAAATGTACTTTTGGAGATATTTGAGCAATGGTTCTTTAATTGCTAGAAAAAATGTATACTTTCTTCACGAAGAGTTTCTATCAATATTTCTTCATGTATTAACTGTTTCTCTCCTTTAGCTATCTATCAAGAGAAATCCTGTTACAAATGACACATAACTCTATTAAAGTTTCATCCATCTTGCATAGTGGGAGTTTATTAGATATCTTAGTAAAATATTTTTCCCGCTCTTTTGCTTTCCTTTCCATATTTATTTTTTCACATTTTAGTTACAGTGTGAACATATTTTTACTTTTATAAATTCAAATCTATGTTATTGAGTATATCTTCACTAAAGAAAAGTAAGCAAAATTTTTCCACTGTATAGCTAGAATATTCCTTTCCACTTCCTTTTATTTTTCTATGTTAAATTTCATGCACTGCACATAATTAGCACTTAATAAATGCATGCTGAATTATAAACAAATATTTATAGAATAGTTATGAATAAATCATTATGATAAATGTCAAATAAAACACTTATAAGAGTTTATAGTCTAATAGACAGCAAGCATGCACTCTAATAGCAAGAATATATGGTTCTGAGAAGCCCAAGGAAACTTTGAGGTTAAATATGGAACAAGCCAGCCAACTAATGTACCCACTGCCACCAAGTCAATTCCAACTCAAAACAAACCTTTAGGGCAGAGTAGAACTGCCCCATAGGGTCTCCATAAATCTTTACAGAAACAGACAGCCTCATCTTTCTACTGCAGAGTGGCTACTGGGTTTGAACTGTTGACTTTTTTGGTTAGCAGCTTTATGCCTTAACCACTGTAACACCAGAGCTCCCTAAACAGCTAGCTAGCAAGTAACAATTCTGAAAGATTCCAACTACAAGTGAAAGGAACTTTTTCTGTTCACCTTCTACGTACTTTATTCCATGCCAGATATTTTACATGTTATCTAAAGTGGTGTTATGATGTGAAATTCTGAGCCCGTAATACAATGCTTATCATTAAAGTGTCTTATACGAAAAGGAAGGAAAGAAAGAATAGAGGAAGGTAAGGAGGGAAAAAGTGAAGGAAGGAAGGAAGGATCGATTTTACCCACACAAATAGATAAAATACCTAAGAGGTGTTAACTAGTTGCCGTCAGGTCAAGGCCAACTCTTGGTGACCCCAGGTGTATCAGAGTAGAATTGTGTTCCACAGAGTTTTTAATGACTGGTTTTTCAGTCGTAGATCCCAGGAATTTGTTTTGAGTCATCTAAGTGGACTTGAACTTCTAACCTTTCAGTCAACAACCAAAGGCATAAACCACTTGCACCACCCAGCGATTCCTAGAAGCTATCACTATCCAGATTTATAGATGAAGAAAACTGAAGGTTAGATTAGGTAAATTTCTCAAAGTTAAGTGTCTGTGTGAGAATTAGAACCTAAGATTCCTAATTAAACCCTTATGATTTTGACTATACTATTTCCTGTATCTTTCTCCACGATCAACTTTTGATTTGTTACATGCTAAAGTTCTATAAATGAGTGGAACTGCTATCCAACTCCATTGCCCAGTTCCTCTATTTTTAACTCAACATCATATTACTTATTTTTCCTATGATTCCAAACCAAATACACTGCCATCAAGTCAATTCCAACTCACAGTGACCCCCCATTGGTTTCCCAAGGCTGTAAATCTTTACAAAAGCAGACCGCCTCATCTTTCTTCTGTGGAGCAGCTCATGGATTCAAACCTATGACCTTCTGGCTAACAGCTAAATGCCTTAACCACTACATCACCAGAGCTTGTTTTTCCTATTATTATACATCATCCAATCATTTAACAATTATTCACTATGCATCTCAGAAATTGTCCTAGTACTTAGGCATAGAGCAGTAAACAAGGTTCTCATATTCTAGGGGAGCAGACAGACAATAATTGTAAGAGACTTCAGTACATGAAGAAACTAACCAGTAAACTGTGTTACAGAATGACTGCATGGGATAAAGGCTATATGCTTTTGGGGTATCAGAGAAAGTCTCCCCAGGGAAGTGATGTTTGTGTAAAGAACTGACTGAAGAATGTTCCAGGCAGAGAAACCAGCAATTAGAGGAACTGTCAGGAGAAAACAAGCTCAATATGAAAGACAAACAGAAGGCCTTAATAGTTGGAACCAAGGAAAGCCCAGGGAGAGTGATACGTGATAAAGTGGGAGATGCAGGCAGTAGCCAAATTATGTCACTTAAAGACAACAGTAAGGAGTTTGGTCTTTAGTCTAAGTTAGATGAGAAGTCACTGGAAGATTTTAAACAGTGGAATGACCTAAAAAAATATCATTCTGGCTACTGTATTGAAAATGGACTGGTAGAGTTTAAGGTAAAAAATGAAAGCTAGAAGACTAAAATAGGAAATGACTGCAGTAACCTAGGGGGGGTGAGATGATGATGACTTTTATTAGGGTAATAGCAATGGTGATGGGGAGAAGAGAGCAGATTCCTAATGCAGAGTGGAGGCAACTGACAGGATTTTCTCATGGATAGGATATAGGGGGGAAAGAAAAAGAGTAATCAAAGATGAGTCCTAAATTTCCTCCTTTATTTCTTTTGCTATACCCACGCATCTGAGTATAATGTCCTTGCTGCTCTTAGTGAATAATTACTGTAATGTGGCATTTCTGGTTAATGACTCCAGTCCGTAAGTTCTTTTGAAGTATTGTTTTATCAAATTGTCAAGACAAAATCATTTATGCTCATGAAATGAATTATATAATTAATAATGTCCTTTCCTGTATTTTGAACTTAAATTAATTTTCCACTGCACTGAAAAAATTCTCCAAAGTAAATCCTCATGAGGGCTATGTACCCTTTTCTGTGCTAGTTTATGAATCTCTGGGTTTTTAATAGTACTGTCTGTATTTATGTGATTTATTTATATTTTAACTCTTTCAAAAATTAATTTCAGAAGGCTCATT